TGGTTTCTATTTAAAAAAAAATTGCAACTTCTGAATGGTTTTAAAAAAAAGGAAAAGTGTACCCAAAAGCGACAAAATGCAACTTTTCAGATTAAACGATTTTCTGCCCCAGTTCGAATTTTCTCCCTTTCCCATTCAATTTACGACATAAAAACCTACATATTCCTCTTGCAATAATCAGATGTTTGAGGTTCGGAAAGTACTTCTTAACAGAGAATATAAATAAAAGACAAGAGTCTTCAAACAGCATAAGAGATGGAAGTTGCTTCAAGACCAGGCACACCAAAACACTCGATTCCCTACTTTCACTACTATTTGAAGCAGTTCCAAAGCTCGGAATTTCATGGTAGCCTTTCAATCTGTGCATAAAACGTTGTACTTTAATTAAATAAATTATTTTAAAAATGCAATTTTAGGTTCGAAAAACTGTCGCTCTTTCGTTAATTACAAACCAAATGTAACATCTTTCCAGAATCACAGAATCATGAAATATATACATTCACGTGTACGTTTAACACAAACAACTTAGATCCAATCGTCAAGAATGATTCTCATATCTGGTTGGATGCCTATTCACTCTCCATAAAAAGCAAAGGCATAATACCTTCTAATATACACTACATACCACACATAAATATACACACAAGTCTGTATCTTTAGATGTCCGTGTGTCAACCGCTTTTAGCATATTCTGATTCTTCTGATAACAATCTTCTTCCGATTGTTCTTCTTTTCAAATTTCTACGGGTGTCGAATCAATGGAACTTCAACAACCGTTACTTTTTCAATTCGAAAGTTGAGTCTTAATATAATTAGAAATCCGAAGTGAGGTGACAGAGGGAGCCCCCTCAAATCGATTTAATACAGATATTTGGAAAAGTGGTAGTAGAAGTTATATAGAGAGATTTAAAAAATCCTTCTCTTCTATTTAAGATTTAGATGCTGATTAGCTAATTATGTTTTAGATTCTTCTAAGCTTCGAAGATCCAGTCTAACGACGATTGCTTGTAGAAATTTTCTTATTAGCAGTAAAATGAAGGACAATATTAAAACTTCATACAATACACAAGCTTGGTCCAAAAAATAGGTTTTCGTTTGTCAACCGCTATGGCATATCTTGGTCTTCTGAAAACAATCACTCTTCTTCTAATTCACATTTAGGCGGTTAATTTGGTACTCGTGTATTTGATACTCAAAACCATTTTTATCAGATCCGGTCCAAGGTCGAATATTTGGAGTAAATTTATTATTAGCAGTACAATGACGTTATAATACAACACTGAAGGTTTAGAACGTAAAATAAATGTTCCTGGGTCAACCGTTTACGGCCTATTCTGGGTCTTCAGAGTACAATCTATATTTTTGTATATAAGGAGTTTCACTTTGGTACCCGTGCTTTTTATATTCCGGAGCAACTGTAGCAGATTATTATTATTTAGAAAAAGTGTATTATTAGCAATACTCGAAGGTAAAATTTGTTAAAAACCGTCCATCGTAATTTTGTTGAGAATACTTACATAAACATCAAAATTACGTGTATTTTTTTATAATATAATGGTACATTATTGTTCATTTTGTAATATTGAACCTATGACGTTGCAGGTTCTCGGGTTGGGAATGGGTAGAAAGGGCTCAAACATCAGGGTTAGAATGATCGAGATGTTGGCGAGAAATTTTTGGAATCGGGAATGGATCAGCAGTTCATGAACAAAAGGAATGTTTAGGTCGCTGTGGTTGGAGACGTAGTAAAAAGCTTTGATCATTTGCCTGAGACCTTTTGATTAGAACGATTGGATGTTCTGGATATTTAATGGCTTGGCCTCAGAGTTTCACTTCATATGTCCAAAGTTGTCGCTGTAGTAAATGGTTAGTAAAGTCTTGAGGGTCAAGGCGGATTTTGGTGCTAGGAGTCTTCGTTGTTGTCCAGGTTTTCTGTAAGTTGTGGTCTTTTAAGTCTTGTGTGGGGGATAGCCTGCTGTCCAGGTAAAGTCCTAGGAATGACGTGGGTAGAAGTCGCTATCTCTTTGTTGTTGATGTACGGTGGAAAGCAAGGCTGTTTTTTTCAATGTAAACGTACAACGAGTACATTTTCCTTCATTAAGTCTTTTTGCATGAAACTTCGTAAGCTCTAGGTGTTCTTGGATATTGGAGGTTGTTTGGGTAGGATACGAGTCAGAGGATAAAATTGCAGTATCGAAAAGTAGGTTGTAATGGTATTGGGGTGTGAAGGTCAGCAGTATAGATGCATCAATAAATGATGGGATTGAAAATGTTCCCTTGAGGAAAGCCGGCTTGTATCGGTCTGATTAACGAGAACTCGTTACCGCACCTCACTCTGACGCAGGTCTGTTAGGTAGGATTTCAGGATAAGATAATAAGGAGTGGGTAAAAGCTAGTTTAAATGGGAAAACATGCCCAGGGCATCAAAATCCTGTGCTAGGAACGCACCCAAGTAATACTCATTTTTCAAGAGCAGAAGAGATGTCGAACACAGATTTATTACTTATTCTAATAGCCCGAATTTTTTCAAATTTGTATTGTTTTATTGTCCCATGTATTTAATTATGCGAAAAACGGAATATGAATAAAACGTTTTCAGTATAAACTTCATTTTAAGCTAGGACATAGGGTTTTTAAGGTTAGGGAAACAGGTTTTTCACTAAAGTTTCAACTAGATTTTCAAGTTTTTAAAACTTTGTACGTCAAAAATTCAACTTATTTATATATCCAGTGGAAAACAGGAAAAAATGAAGTCCGTTGAGAAAGGTGTTCATGGATAGCAAAGGGACGTTGTTTTCCACAAGGATGTAACCTATTTTCACGTCTCATTACCTGACAAAAATTAATGGAGTTGTGATGTCCTACCTTGTCCGCCTTAATCGCTTGACCCTTCACATTCAGTTCTTCACCGTGATGTGAAAAATCTAATGAGAAATACTTCTGGATGGAATACAAATTTGTGTTTAGCACAATGTTACTTAAAATTACATCCAATTTGTTGCATACTTGTCAACGTAAATTTACTGATATATTCAAAAATTTTCTTTGATAAATTCAACAAAGTTATTTTAGGACAAATTTAATTTTAAAAAATAGCAAATTTGATTACTAAAAATATAATAGCACATTTTCACCCAGGAAATAGAATGAAAAGAAAAACATTTTTAGAAAGCTTTATCGACTATTGTCAAGTTAGACTTATCGGTAATTAGAAGTACAAACAAAAATTAAAACTGGTTCGATTGGGATTCCTGGAAAAGCTCACGAATAAATTGTTAACTGAGGACAATTTTTACAATAGTTTCGGAAGTACTGATTCAAGGCTATTAATTTTTATTAACTGCCTCTAGTCGATAGATAAAAGAAAATTTCTTGCATGTGAAAATGCTGGCCGTGATCTCTTAAACCCATTAATTGTAAGACGTAATTGTAAAAGGAAACATAGGAAAATAAATTTCTACATTTATTTAAATTAATGACTTATGTAAAATTTCTATGTCTTAAATATGTTTGTTCTACTCTTTATTTTATTATAATTAGTTCAATGTACAGGTTTATCTTGAATTGAGCTTCAAATAAGTACAATTTAAGTGCCTAAAGGAAAGGGATTGGCAGAAATAATGGTGAAAAGGACGGAATGGAAAACAAATAGAGCAAAGGAACGTTTTTCTTACTGATTAATTTCATTAATTATTAGAATCTTATTATTTCCGTTTAAATTTAAATGATTTGTTTTCCCCAGTTATACGCGTGCCCGCTGGCAGAAGAAACAAGCGAGGCTCAACGGATCCATCACTTAAATTCTTAAATAAATCTGTTTGAATAGAGAACTGTTAAAATTCAAATAATTATTAATTTTACATGATCTGATATATTTGCTACCTTTGTTAAATATTTTATTAGGCAGTTTTTATAGTATTTTTTAAATTTACTATAATAATTATGTTATTTTTCAATTGTTGTTACTGAAACAGAAATAATATGTTAAAAAACACTTCTTTCCAGCTAAGGATTAAGGTTTAAGTCAAAAATCTTTTCTATGATTGGAACAACTTATAAAAATTAATTATAAACCTAAACAAAAAATTACTTTTTAATTGTACAGATATATCTGAACATTATTTTTTAAATTTTATTCGGCAGATTTGATAAAACTTTGAAATTGAACTAAATAAATGGGTTTATTTTCACATTAAAATTACATACACGTAGCATAAAAAAACAAATAATATTTCGCACCATGGCACATCATAATTCTTTAGTTCAAAAACATTTTTATTGAAAGCATTTAGTCAAAGCTAAGATGTGAAATAATTCTTGGCAGGGGGTGTGGGGAGTTATTTTTCAATAGGGATTTTTTTTTCAAAATCTTTGTGACATACAAGCAAACACTGGGTAATGTGGATAGCAAATGCATAATACGAATACAGTGGACAAACTGAATCTTCTTATGTAATAACCCTCGTTGCATAATATGACTAAGCTCGTACACGGTTTTAAAATTGTTAAATGTTAAATTCTCCACGATAATTTTTTTACAGGGCTGTTAATATTTGTTCATTGGTTTTTGCAAACTGTCTGTGCCTATTTCCACTCGTTTGGTGTAATGGTTGATGTCAACACCCAAGCATAACTGTGTAAATTTTTACTCAATATTTTGATTTATAGCAAATTTTTTCAGATGTCAACATGAATTTTTTTAGTCTATTGTTTAATTATTATGCAATATTTATTGGTTGTTTGATAAATGAAACATTATATAGATTTTATGTTAATTTGTTTATAGGATATTTTTTGTTCAGATTTTTTTTTAATTCTAAAGATTCCCATTTATTTTTGCATTTTATAGCATGCAATCCTGTCAGTACGCGGAAAAATGTAACTTTATTCTTAGCATTCTAATTAAAATTTATTAGTAATTAAATATTAATGGTCATGCGGTTTAAACCAAAGAACTCCCCGTTTCAGCGGAAAATGTTATTTTAAAAAAAATCTTCTACCTGTATTTTTTCAGCTAGCTGTCAAATTCGACGACCTCTTTGACAGGATCGTATTTTGCGGAAGGGAACTCGTAGGGACTCTTCGAGGGCTGAAGGCATTGTGAGGGAGTTCCTGATCGAGCGACCCTTATGTAGACAGGAGCACGCTTAGAGCGCCCTGGCGGGCACGCAAATATTACTCTTGGTTGTCAAACTTTCAAAATGCTGCAAAAGGTTTTTCTAAATTTGTAAAAAAATAATAATCATTGAACAATTCCATCTGCTCAACAATCAATAAAATAAGTGTCAAACAACTGCGGCTTATTATCGTTCTTAGATTATTTATGAGATTTTTTCTAGATATCAGGATTAATACTTTTTTTATTGTGTATGCAATCTTTATTCCCCTAATTACATAATTTTTTTACTATAAGACGATTTCTGTGTTATTGAAAATTTTCGGCTTGAATCTAAGTCCGATCTATTTGATTCATGACCTGAAGAATTTATTCACAAATTTATTTTGGACAAAATTGCATATTTAATATTTTTTTAGCTTAAATGATGAATTGACCATTTAATGTTTATTTTATGCGCCATGAATCAACTTTAATCGACTGCTGTAAAAATTGCTTTACTGCTTCCGTAGATGTATGACGATCCTTTCGTTTGTTAAAGAATAAATTAATGGAGAAGCGGTACAATTTTTTTGAGTAATTTTTTTTAACAGTGGTTATTTCAGGCTTTATTTAAAAGTCCTTAAATACATACAGTTGTATTTGCATAAAGATAAAACAAAATATTTTCAAATATTACTTAAAACAAAGCCGGACTGCAAGCTTAGGGGCTGTTGCAGGAGTCAAAAAAATTGGTGCATGGAGGTTAATGAATTATCATTAAAATACCAGATTGTTCTTTTACTTTAGCCTTCCTACTAAAATACCAAGTTATCTTCCATTAATTTCGAATTCTTATGCAATGTGTGGTTGAGGTAAAAAAGCTATAGAAGCGCCGGGTACTGATCCGGAGGTCATGGGTTCAAATCCTAATCGATCCGACACTAATTTTTCAACTCAACCATACATTGCGTAATAATTGAAGTAATTACTTTGGTTAATAGGACCAACCGACAAGCACATAACAGATTAATTTCTAAGTTTTTAACCATTTTTCTCTCAGTTCCATAGAGAGTTTAACATATTTGACCAGCCCTACCAAATCTGCTCCTTTAATTAAATTCAAAAAGTGGTCCTAATCTATTTACATATATAGGTGAGCTGAATATTGTACAGATAGCCAAAAAATGGTACACATTTTGTACATCAATACTGTCTATGGGTATTAGGTTTCAGAATCCATCCTCTAATTCCTAAAAGTCATCTCACATCATTCATTGTCAGATCGATTTTTTAAGTTATGCATCTTTTCAAAATAAAACTTGAGTGGTTGGCCCATACCCAATCTCTCTCATCTCATGACCGCATTCTCAAATGTATGTTTTACATTACTTTCAACTGTCTACCTCAGACGAGATTCCATCTCGGGTTTCAACACCGTACGCTACGATGTATTGTACTGTCAGGTCCATAATGTAGTGAAGTATGAACGGTTTTTTTATGGTTTCTATGGGAAAAAATTTTGGTAATCGACCCCCAGGCATGGCAGAGTTTTGAAGTACAAAAGACCCGTCTGCATCTCGACGTAAACAAACGCTGTTTTTATATTGTAAAAACAGTAAATGTTTTATATTTTTACGTAAAATGACATTTAAAAAAGAAACATCCTTATTCAATGTAAAAAATGCTTATTGAATATATTTCAAGTTCTTAAACTCATAATTTGCATATTTGAAATTTTTAATTGCATCACATTTTTAAAGCACGAAATTTTTATTATTATAAAAAATAATAATTTAACCTAGCATAAACTAAACGTTTCCCATATTTTTACATTCACTAGGTTTCAATAAATTAATGATATATAAGTTTTAGACTGCAAGTGTTTGTTTATTTTAACCTTGCCAATTATTAATATATGATTGATTTAAAGCCCTGATGTAGGGGATTATATCCCTTGAAAGCTTGTCAAAAGAACTGTGTATATTATTTTTTTTCTAATTGGCCTTATATCCGATTTTTAATACAAAATGATAATATGGAGTTAGTAAATTTGTTACAAATTTAGACAAATATTTTCATGTTTTTTGCATATTTTTTATATTATCAAAAATTGTGCCACATCTTTCTAATAGTATTATTACATTTTTCTAATATTGTTATTACATTCTATTTTTTTAGCCTTAAAATCGATTGCTTTAAAATCTGTATATTCTTCTTTCGCGTGGGCTTAATTAACCGAAGGCAGAAACTGAAAAATGTTACGTTCAAAAATGTGTTTTTGGAATATATTCGTGTGAAATATATTACGTCCATTTTTGTACTCTAACATTTTATTTTACATAACAACACGCATTTTCGACGTATTCGGTTTAAGTACAGGAAATTTCATCAGACTTTAGACTTCCATCTCGAGCTCGTTTTTAACTTCAAACAAATTTTGGAGAGTCTACTTGTGCAAAACTTGCGACAAGTGAGTTTTCATTTTCAATTATCCTATAGCCTGTTTGAGTTGGGCGTAAGTCCTGTTGCTGCATTACTGTAAGTTGTAAATATTAATTTCTTCTCTCTGTTGTAAAATTATAATTTCGATTAATTAAATTTTCTTACCTTAATGATTTTTTCATGTATTATTTGTAGTGAAAGAAGAAGTGTACTTTTGTAATTTTTTTTTAGTACATTTTATTTGCCACAAGAATTTTTTATAACTTTTTTTAGAGTACGATGGAGAGAGAGAGAGAGAGAGAGAGAGAGAGAGAGAGAGAGAGAGAGAGAGAGAGAGAGTGAGAGTGAGAGAGAGAGAGAGTGTGTGAGAGATTTGATTTTTGAGCAGTAAATCAAATCTTTGATAACAAACACATCCTAAAAAGTGTGTATTATCAGTAGCATTAATTATCCATTTTTTACTATTTTTAATCGACTTTTATGCTGAAATGTATATCTCTCTTTTACCTTGCCCCAAAAAAATGGATTTTTTCATAGTTTTGAATTAATTTGGAACCTTTTCAATTACTGATATGTAATTTTACCCCGTTTTTCTAAACAACATAATTATTGCAATGTACAACTTATTAATCTTTGGGACTGTTAAGTTTTCTTCATGAAATTTCTATAGAATAAAATGACAATTTTTAAAAAACCATTAAACGTTTTCTTATTTCTTGCATAATTAACAGTCGCATATCATTTGTCACAATCTTTTGATGGTTCAGCTTTATCTAGTTCTAGAGTACGCTTTTAATAAAAAAAATATTTCTAGCTTTAAATATGTTCATACACCCCTAAAGTTTTTTTTTTTTTTTTACTTTTGACTGTTTAAGCAAGAGGATTTTATTCACTTCAACTATTCCATTAACTTTGGGCTTTATAATTATCACCCTCTTTCCTTAGAGTTTCATAGAAAGTTTTCTTTTCTTTATTCACCGGGTGTCCTTTTAATAATGAACATTAAAAATTTATTTTTTTGAAATATGTAACAATTTGGCATGAAAAATTAATTAGGAGGAATGTTAGGAAAAAATAATATGGAACAGGATCGGAATAAAATAAATCTATATTTATGTATGAATTAGAATGCTAAAATGGAAAAATATTGAAATAAACATAGAAGTGTTGGGTGGTACTGGATAAAATGTTGGCTGAAGGAAGATCCACCAGTAAATTACTGGGTTTGTCAATGTTGTAAGTAGAATAAGCTGCTAATTCAGATTAGAATTTTATTTTAGGATACCAGTCTTCTTAATAAATAAGATCAAATCGTGTACAGTTTGAAACGAAAAGAGAAGTTTGACAAAGAAGTTTACAAAAGATGGAGAAAAATTCTACTAAATATCGTTAATTGTATGAAAAGTAAAGCTAAATAAATAGAAGTTTCTGATTAAGGATCAAACCACTAAAAGCTTATTAATAAAACGATTTGTTTCTATTAGACCATCCTTTCATCCTTTGCTTCACTTATTAAACAAATAATTGTTTTGATGAGAAAATGTTTGAATTAAGCAAAGAAACACTAGTTTAACTGTAAGCTCAAAACATTATGTATCACCAAAAAAAAAGAAAGAAATTATAGAATAAATATTGACTAAGTTTTTATTCAGCCTTTATTGTAATTCGTAATTAAACATAAATAAAGTAATCATTTTTTAATATAGCTTAATATGTTAGCTACAATCTTTTCCCGGCCGGTTAGTAACTAGGTCTATTTCCAGCCCCAACCCCCATGTTTTGCGTATCTCATATTTTTTATTACTCCTATCTTTGATATTTAACCCTTTTAAACGGGACGATTTAATTAAAATAGACATTTATTTTATTAAAAATATTATCTAACCTTTGTTTGGCGGTTCTCAAGAGTTCTCGATATACCGTTGAGACTCACAGCTACGGTCACTCTAAAATTATTTAAAGCCTAAAAATAGGGAGCCCTGCGAGGGGAATTTCACATTGACGCCCACATTTTATTCATACCAATAAATACATTCACACATAGTAAAAATCATGCATTTTATTATCTTAAGTTAACATAATTACTCCGACGTATCTGTGAGTACTCGATATTCCACATAGTCCATGCACATTTAACACTCACGCAAGTTGCACCATTTACTCCTCGTCACATTACAAATATGTCCAAAACTAAATAACCTAGACTACATTAGTGTGTTTGCGAATACTCGATATTCTATCACAGACACAACCACAAATATTACAATGTTCACGCTAATAAATATATTCACTCAAATTATTTGAAGTAAGTACGAAAGGGCTCCCTATGTGCGGCCATAAAAGCTTATCTGCTTTCGATGTCGAATCAATTGCTTATAATATTCACTACTGTTCCGTAAAAGTTGTTTACGATCTGTAGAAATCCCTTCCCCTCTGTTATACGTTAAACATACTAATGACCCTGATAAATAGCAACTCTATGGCCTGTCTTTGGCGAGGAGAAGTCTATTTGTCAGCCTGCTGTGGCCTATCCGCATGAGAGCAATTGTGATTTTATGTTAGTTAAAACGTTATTGGTAAATTTCTATGTGACAATGTTGTTTAGTAATCCCTAAATAACGTTTGATTAACATAATCAACGGAAAATTTATTAAAGTTTTTGTTATGTATTATTTCAAATTGTTTTGATTTTTATATATTAATATAATATATTTTATATATTTTTATATATTGTATATTATTATATTTCCATCGAAAAATAAGCACAGTAAGTCTTATAACAATAAATAGTTTTATGTTAATATGTCTAACAGTAATTCTTCATTAACTAATAAAACTATTTTAATAGTTTCATTTTGATTTATAGCCCAGGTAAAAACAGCGAACCCGTGACTGGCCGTAAAATAAAACTTTATCACGTCTCAAACCGTCAGTCCTGGGAAATTAATACAGTTGTTGCGAAGGATGGAACATTTCGCCAGAAAATGATACACGTTCTCATTTCCACTAACTCTTCTGGGAATACAGGAGACGATGAAATGGGTTTAATTTACAGAGACGATGGTCTTCACATGTTGAAATCTTTTGTTTTGCCTGCTTGGATATAGGGAAAAGGGACGTAGATAGTAGCTAGGGTCAAAGTGTAGGCATAAAGGGTCATATCAAATAGTGAAAAAAATGTATTAGTTGCGTCAATTTAAAATTGCAACGCGTAAATGTAGGAAACATATACATTTACAGATATTTACACACTCGATTTAATCAAGGAGAGGAAATAATCTCCAGAAAACAATTCTCCTATTTCCCTCCACTTTACTACAATAGTTCATCACGATCCCTCAGAATGGCATCCTCTGTTAGTCGTTGGGAATAACAAGAAAATTACATAAGTACCAGGGCAAACAGGTCACAAGAAGCCGATAAACTTGCTATGGTAAGTCCGAAGAAGACAAACCTTTTTACGCCATGCCAAACTGTTAAAAAGTGGAACCATCAGACAAAGGAAAAATCCTCGGTTAATAGGAAGTATCCAAAAAATTTCATCAAAGGATCATCGCAGAAAAAAAGACTAATAAATCTAGGACATGCTAGGACTAGAATTATGGCTGGACTGCTTACTGGACACTGCCGACTCCTGAGGAATATATACATACTTAGGGCAGCAGAAATAAGCTTGTGCAGATATTGCCAGGAAGAGGAAGAATAGTGGTACATGTCGGCTTGTGGCTTGTGCAAAATGAGGTTCTACTTCTGGCAAAGCCTTTTTATATTCAATTACCCCTTTAAAAAATTAGAAAAACTGATATAGGAACATGTCCTTTGTAACTGCGAAACATTATCCCGTAAACGGTACTCCCAGAAAGGTGATACCTAAAGAAATCAGCAAAGAAAAACTCCAGAAAGTGCCCAACAACCTAAAAAGTTTTTTTCTGCAGTATGGGAATAAAAAAGGGTCAACGCCACAATAGACCTTTTATGTCCCTTAGACTAAAATCTCCAGTGACTCTGGAAAACGATTGTTATGTGGGCTTTAACTAGAAATAAATTAAATAAGTTTATTTGTTCTACACACTGACTACATTGTCTTTGTTAGTTTACTTTCACAAGCCAAAAATAAATAAAGTGTGCCATTTCTTAGGAAGTAAAGACAATAAAGGTAGAAGCATTCTGCAGTAATTCCAGTATAACCTTGCAAAGAGGTTTTCTAAATTACATTGAAGAGAATTCAACTTTACAGATAGAACCCTGCCAGGAACGAAGCTTGTTAACAGCCACCTAAATTAAAACCCACCCTTTCCTTCCAAGTTAGGTGTTTTCTATATAAAAAAAGAAACAAATATACAAAACCTTTTGCAAGTCGGAAAGGGCCAATTTAGCTTTACGACATGCTCGGCCTCATATTTCAAAGCCTACTGTCTGGAAGCTTCGAGGTTTAAAACTTAAAACTCTTCCACAACGCTTAATTCGACAGAGGGTTCTCAAACTGCTTTTCACTTGTTTGAGAAATTTAGAACACTTTGGTTTAAATGAGGAGGAATGGAAATTTTTCGGCCGCATAATTTTTCCAAAGGCATTACTTTTACAAACAAATTTGTCACTTGATAAAATTTGGCTTTCATTTACACGCTCTTTATTTAATTCAAAAAATTCAAAATATAAATGACTAGTAACAACCCATAAAATTATGAATAATGCAGTACAAGCTCGGTAATTTTACGAATGATCCTATATAAGCCTATAATCAAAATTCTTATTTATTTAAGAAATATGTAATAAAGCGCAATAAACTTCTTTACAACTTCACAATATCTTTCTTTTGATGATTCTAAAGCTTAAATAGTTCCGGGTTTGCCTTTCCTCCAAACCCCTATTGAGGGTTTTCTAAATCCATTTAAGCTTAAATCTCTAAAAGATTTTAAAGCAGACTTCAATCGCGGCCTATCTACTAATGTACTGTAGTGTTTAGAAAAGAGCCATTCTGATCTTGGTTTCTGGTGAGAGTTCGTTTTTGCTTGTCAAAACCACTTTTTTATTCTCCGTCATCAATCATCTAAGAGATCCCTGTCTAGTGGGTTGTTCAATTTCTGACGCATCATCAGCGTGACAGGCGATTATTAAGGCGACCAGCATTTACAAGTCACTGCAAATGAGAAACTACATTAGCAAGTATTCACTTTGAAACATAGTGTTTATATATTGAAAAATATGCACTATTGTTTACCTACGTTTCCGACCAATCTATCGTTTTTGTTCGGACAAAGAAAATTCTCTTTCGCTCAAATAATAAATTACCTGGGTGATACACCATCAGGGCAAGTCTCCACGCTTTCTGAAAAACTGTAAATACAACAAAAAGGTTAACATAAGTTACAAAAATAATAATATTAAAAATAACAATGTCATAATAGGCAACACCTTCCAACTTGTCTTCGCTGTATTCGAAGTGGAGAACGTGTCATTCTGGCGGTAAAACATGTTTTGGTCGATAGTCGCATTTTGTAACCCTTTCGGCAAAGGCTCAATGTGTCGACGGATTTAAAGGAGTTACTAGGTCCCCAGTGTTTGTTCCGGAGTGCACGTTTCAACTTTCCTAAATTTATTGGAATTTATAATCAGGTTTAGGCCTTTCGTCAAATTCTTATACCTTGAATGTCTAACAGTGTTTGAATGATACTTCTACGTGCAATATTTCTTAACTCTTAATCTCTTAACTTTCTTAACTTTGAGGCTGCAGGAGCGGAAAAATGAAATAAAAGAAAAAATCAAATTGTGGGATAATAAACTACAATGCCCAAAATCGCGATTCAAATAACGAAAGATAGCTTCTCTAAAAAAATAAATAATAAATAAAATACATAAATAAAAAAGTGTTATTGTGTTTTTGTTTTAATTATTGTTGTTATGTAGCATTAGNTTTTATAATTTAAAATGTTTTTTTACATATATTTGGCTTTTCAAATTAATTATTTTAAAGGCTTATATTAAAGCTTTGGATGGCAATAGGATAGATTAGATTACGTGGTAAATGTTAAGATTGAAGTTGTGAATGTATGTTAAAGGTGAGGGCATGAAATGACTTTAGCCTTTAAAATAATAGCTAGACTTTAGACTTTAGCCTTAAAAATTAATAATAATCCATTATATTTAGTGGTAAATTGACCAAATAACGTCTTTCAATTAATTTTTTTACGTAAGGTTTTGATTGAAATGAAAACCCTAGTGTCACGAGCGGGATTCGAACCCACGACCTTCGGCTAAATACGCCGCTGCTCTAACCACTATATCGTGACGTCGATCCACTCGGACACCAAGTCCCCATCACAACCTACAACTTTTCTTCATTAATCTCATTAATAATAACGAGAAGAAGGTGGGAAGTTTAACTTAACATACAGCTGAGATCATCGCCCACTGGTTGTTACTTCTTTTTCTGGTCTTTTTGTCTGTCATATTTTTCAGCAAGCAGCCATTCGAGAGCCTCGATCTGTTAAGGACTATCTGCTGTTACATGAAAACTAATTGTAAGTCGATATTCTAGAATGCTAACCTCTCATTTTACCTCAGGTTGTCGACTAAAGAATAGATACAAAATGTACAATTCATAATATCACCACAAACACGGTATGGTTGTAACATTCAATCTCTTAGAATACTCGATATTTTCATAGCTCAAGTGGTAGAGCAGCGGCGTATTTATCCGAAGGTAGGGGTTTGAATCCCGCTCGTAGCACTGACTTTTTCATTTCAGCCAAAACCTTACATAAAAAGATTAATTAATTGAAACAAGTAATTTGGCCAATAGACCCCTAAATATAATTGATTTAATAAGCTATAAAATTTGGTTACATACCCTCCGTATATAAAGTCTATAAAGAAGAGCGCGCGTGCGTGTTTATTTCTTATGTTAATTAATATTAGCATCTTTTATTTGTCTTTAGTTAAATAATAAATAAAATTCTCTAATTTCGTGGTCCGCTTGACCAATTAATACTTTACAATTAATTAAGGTTTTTTTGTTGAGATGAAAAAAAGCTAATGGCACGAGAGGGATTCGAACCCACGACCTTGGGGACAGCGGTAGCCGAGTGGTTAGCATGAGAGACTCTCACGCCGCGGTCGTGGGTTCGATTCCCACCGTTGCCCCTGGCCCTTTTTTCCCAATAACCCCCCCCAAATTTGAACACACATATACGAATTGTCATATGGCTAATATGCATGGTTCATAACGCAAAAAAAAAAAAAAAAAAAAAAAAAAAAAAAAAAACCACGACCTTCGGCTAGATACGCCGCTGCTCTACCACCTGAGCTGTCGTGACCTCCATCCACTCGGACATCAACTCCTCATCTCAACCTGGTAGAGCTTCGGCGTATCTAGCCGAAGGTCATGGGTTCGAATCCCTCTCGTGCCATTAACTTTTTTTCATCTCAACAAAAAACTTAATTAATTGTAAAATAAATAAAATATTGTGAAAGGAAGTTAATAAATAATATTTACGAGGCTGTGTTCAAGCCTTGCTTTTTATTCAATTAAACCATTTTATTTGCAACCTTAATGTTGCTTTTTGTCGTTTATTTCTCGTTATAATGGCTTAATTAACATTTACCGTTGTATTCCATGTTTCTTATGACCTGTAATTCTAATTATTTCTCGTTGCTTTTTGCCTTAAATAATAATAAGTATTTTGTTAAAGAAACCATGAAATTTTAACGAGAATATATCTATTATTTTTATTACCACTATGAATTGATTTTTTGCGGCAGATTCAGCTTTTTTGTAAGTACATCTTTTTAAATTAGAGAATACTTTAATGAACGTGCAAGGAATGGTATGACAGTACACTGTATACAGAAAAATATCATAATGGCCTCAAACCTTTCCTAAAAAATATCGATCCAAAAATGCAACCATTCGTAAACTACCGATTCGATAAGCGGATAATAAATCCAACCAGCCTTGAGCTGGTTGTTTTTTCAGTTTTGTAAACGAGCAACAAACGCTGGTTGCACCCTAGTGTTACCGCACCTGCAATTCCACCCGAATTGGTTCTAATTGTTTTCTGGAATCCACAACTGTACAACCCTTTTAACAATTGAATGAATTTCTTACAATTTATACAAAATATTTGGGCAAGAAATAAATAAAATAACCAAAGCTTGTTGAAAATATTTTGTAACAGCTATTTATTTTCATCTCAACCGATAAATAATAAATTCAACCCTTTTAAACTCAATATAATAAATAGTTATTAATTTGTTATTTTTTAATACTGTAAGAAAACAAACAGATCTCTCGGTACAATTAATTAGACAGACGTTATCCACAAGAAATTGGTTATCGCGAGAAACAACTCTTAGACCTTCAATGGGGCGTGTGAAAATATATCTTGCTACGCTAGACTGACCAAATGGATCAAGAACGTATTTATTGTTAAACATATTTTATGTGATATCTACCACGTCAAGCTGTTAAAATTGTTTATATATTTGTCTTTTTATTCTATTTATATTAATATTTATTAAAAATGTTTTAACAATTCAAATAGTTCTGCTTTGACATCCCCAGTTTTATCTTACAAAATCTATGTTTTCTGTGTTTTTTTTTTGTGTTTTTTTCGAAATAGAATTATTTACCAACATGAACAAGTTTTGGAAGCATAATAGAAAATGAATTATGTGTGGTGATATTAGTGACCGTTAATCGATAATTATTCAGAAATCGTGAGATGCGGTCTGGTGTGATGTAGGTTTCAGAAAAACATTTTCTTTATCGTGCCAACGTTTCGATCTTTATTGAGATCATCTTCAGGGCCTGGGATTTACAAACATTGTTTACATTTAACAAATACATGTAGGATGTGGAGAGACAGTATATTTTGCAGTGTATAAATTCACTTTTCTCCACATCCTACATGTATTTCTTATATGTAAACAATGTTTGTAAATCCCAGGCCCTGAAGATGATCTCAATAAAGGTCAAAACGTTGGCACGATAAAGAAAATGTTTTTCTGAAACCTACATCACACCAGGCCGCATCTCACGATTTCTGAATAAATATTAATTATGTACAATCTTACAAATGATAATGTATGATAATTAAAAAGATTGACACTAGTTAGAGACAATCTCTAAAATTGATGAAATGCAACTCGGATTTCTAGGTTTTCTAGTGAAGCTTGATTTTGGTTCAATTTTTTTCTGGGGCAAGTAAACATCAGCTAAAAAACCGTTTTTAAAATAGATTCATCTTTAATTTAACTGCCAATACACATAAAACAGATTTCAGTTTCGCATTATTAAAATTTATTCTATAAATGTTGAATAAATACTTGTCCTAGATCAAACAAGAAAACAGAATAAAGTAGTATTTTTATAGTTTTACTGTTTCATTTCGTATAAATAACTAGAATTGACTAAAGTCGTACAGCAAACAAGGGTGTGTTTGACAGACTTTTATGAAACTTTTTTCATTTACTAGGTGGGAAAATAAACTGCCCAAGTGAATTATTTACTATCCCTAGAATTTTTATACTATTTTTATTATAAATTGCATTAACTTTTATTAGAATTTTTTTTTCTTGCTGAAGGCAAATTTAATTAAGACTATTTCTATAATTCTATAATTTTATTTATTGGACACGATAATATTTTAAACAATTTCATAAGGATTTCATAAGGGATTTTACTCCATGGCTGTTGCATTCAATTGTTGTTGCAGCTCAATTGGCTTCGGATGGTGATCGAAAATCCTTCTCTGCAACGCATCCCACATATGCTCAATAGAATTGAGGTTTGGAGACGATGGGGAAAAAGACAAATGAGAAATCCCCAAGTTTTCCAAACACTGATGAACAACTCTGCATGTTTGACGTCTGCTGGCATTGTCATCCGGAAATATTTGCTAATGAGGGATGTATTCCTCGATAATTAATTCAAATTATAATAAATAAAAAATAAATCTTTATTCATTTTTGAGCAATTTATTAGGCATGTGTCCGAACATTATCGCTGTAGGTCCGAGGAGCCAACGAAAACAAACATAGAATCCTCCATCACAGAATGGATCCAAAAATAGGAGAAGTGGGTATTTTCTAGTGGTACTAGACACATTAAGCTTAAGTTAAAACTGCCCTCACCAAAATTGGCAAACTCACTCATACAGTGAATTCAGAGGACTGGTAACTGGCATTGGATATAAACTGCTTAGGGATATAAACCCATATTCCTAGTCTCCTTTCATCATCATCATCAAATGCAATATAAAATTGATTAAAAGCAAGTGATATGAGCTTTTTATTTGTATTTATTTCTTGGCTGAATACCTTTGAAATTGTTTAAAATCTACTTTTTGTCCAAAAATATTCATTAAATAATCATAAATAAAATAATCATCAAAAAAAATCATTGCATAATTACTACCGTTACAATTTGCAAGCTCCGTCAATAGCATAGGCGTTGAGTCGAGTGAGACTTTGATACCGTGACTTGAAAACTTCACAATTTCGGCTTTAAATACCAGGAGAAGAGGTTTTTTAAATAGAACAAAAAAACCAACTCTTCTATTTTT